CCGGGAGGCGGCCGCAGGGCCGACCGCGACTCCAGGGGGCGCGAACCGGGAAATGCGCCAGGACTGACTCCTGGAGCTTCCCGTAGCCGCGGCGGACGCCTGGGAATCCAGACGGCGTCCCGCGAAGGACAAACAGCCTCCTGCCGGGAGCGGCCGCAACGCCGGCCTCGGGGTAAGTCGGGGAACCGCGGGCCTCGGGGCGCGGCGGGCGCCGGGGGCGTAGCAGCTCCGATGGCCGTGCCAGCCGACGGGGGGATTCGGACGTCGCTGTCGCTAAATCGGAGCCTGATGGATGGGACAGTGTCCGGTCCACGCTGTCCCGCAGGTCCTCACCGCGGCGGGGCCGGGTGCGGGAAGGTCCTTTTTGGCCGGGCGCCCCGAGGAAGGAGGGATCGCCGGGAGTCGTGGCCCTTCTTGGACATCTTTCTGGCCGGGGACCCCGGGGTCGCCTCGTAGCAAGGTCCCCCCCCCCGCCTGGGCCTCCTTCCCACCCACTTCCAGTCGCCGTCCGGCAGAGGAATCCGGGTAGTTTTCTTTCCTGGCGTCTGGCGACAGGCAGTGGCCCGCCTGGTCGCCCTCCCCGACTCCCGACTCGCGCGGGAAGATGCCGAGTCATCTCACCGCAGGGCCCGCGGCGGGGACGCCGGGAAAGCCAGGCCTGCGACTCCGTGGGTGGCCCGTGAGAGGGCGGACCGAGGCGAGGGGGGCCGGGGCCGGGGCCGCGGGAGTCATGCAAGATTGCGACCAAGCGAGGCGTGGAAGGAAGTCAAGTTTATCCTTCACCTTTCACAGATTGGCAAAGGGGCCGACCCTCAAGAGGCGAGTGTGGCATCAACGGGCCAAGAAGTTGGTCTATTTAAGGGCCTTTGGGATCAGGGCGGTTTGGGCCCAGAGGGGTCTGGGCCAAAAGGAATGTTCAGGGCTGGGGGTCTTGATGTTGCCTGGAGCCACAGGAGTCTTAGATCTTGATGTGGCCAGACGTTAGCATCTCACGCCCTCGGATGCTGGGCTCATGGGAGGAGACTGCAAGAGACCTGTCAGATGTTTTCCATCCACAAGCTCTTTAGCAAAAAGCTAGTCTTCTTATCATTTCTATGGCTTCGGTCAGCTAAGGGGCCTGAGAGTTTCTTAGAGATTATCATGCTACACCATGAATCGAACGGTTGGGCTGTTCTCGTCTTGCAGCTGATGGAGATTTGCCTAGGCGGTGGGGTAGGCTGCCCGCTTGGCCTGCGGTAAAATGTCTGAATGTTTCCTAAAGCCAGCCTATTGGAAATGTGTCTCTCTGTGTCTAACCTGTGCTAGCTTCAAAGTGTGTCCGTCTAAGCACAAATGGTTATGCTGAGGCAGAATGTGAACTAAGTTTATTCTAAGTTTCTGGGGGGGGTCTCTCCTTTCAACCGGTAAACCTAGACGAGAGGGCTTTGGCCTGCTTCGGGCTGATGGTCTAATGCCAGCCTCTGGCCTAGGTGGGGTCACTCGCGGTCCTCTCCATGTGGCTGTGGCAGCCCTGTGTCACTGCTTTTTCCATTTGTCGAGCTTCCTGAATTTCACAGAGCCGAAGAGTTTTGAGGCTTTGACTAACGTGCAAGTTATGGACACAAGTGGGTTATGTTTAGGGGGTAAGCCACGAGGGATGTGGGGTTTTTCGTCTTAAGAAAAAGTCAGAGATTTGGTCAGTGTGTCTTGCGCTGCAGTGTGAAGTCCGATGTGGGAAGCTGTGGTTTCGTTTCTCTTTTAGATCTACTTAAAGTCATCAAGTCTGCCCTAGAGCTATTACTGATGGGATCTTCTATCTTTAAAAATGTAGTTTTTAGTGACACAGAAAACTGTATCGTATTAGTATTCAAAGGACTGGGTTGTCCCCCCTTTAAAATGGTTTAATTTGGGGCAGCCCCCTGGGGTCCCCTCCCACTGTTGGAGCTTTTCTGTCCTCTCAATAAATCCTGCGTTCTAAAAAATATTTTGAAAAAAATAAATAAGATTGTTGAATTTGGAGGAGAAAGCACAATCTCTTCTTTTAATAATAATTGCTAACATATAGCACCTTACTGTTCCAGTTTTATTAATCATTTAATCCTCAGAACAAACCTATGATGTGAACACTATTACTGTTTTCATTTTACAGACAGGGCGAGTTAAATAAATACCTCTGGTAGTTGTACAGGATTGATTGATTAGTATTTGCCATTATTTTGGTTTTTTGGGTTTTTTTGAGTTGGAGTCTCACTCTGTCACTCAGGCTGGAATGCAGTGGCACATTCACGGCCACCACAGCCTCGACCTGCTGGGTTCAGGTGATACTACTGCTTTTGCCTTCCAAGTAGCTGGAACTACAGGCACGTGCCACCACCCAGCTAATTTTTTTGATTTATTGTAGAGACGAGGTCTCGCCATGTTGCCCAGGCTGGTCTTGAACCCGTGGTCTCAGGCAGTCCTCTCACCTCTGCCTCCCAAAGTGTTGGTATTACAGGCATGAGCCACCGTACCTGGCTATTTCAGTATTTTTAATAATAAATTTCATGTTAGGAGTCTTCTACTGATATATTTTTAAAATCAGTATTTCCTACCCTCATAATCCAACATTCTTTTGTATATAAGAACCACTGGTGAGAATGGAAGTCAGATCTTTGATTGTAATAACATCTCGTTATTTGGTAAATATCAGTAACATAATGAATTTAAACCTAAAATAGTTCTAGTGTGAAGAAAAATGATGCATGTCTATTTTTCTTTCTCTCTATTTTCACTTCACACAGGACCACTGCCCTAGTTTCAATCCAAGTAACCTTTAAATGAACTTTGCTTAAATCTTAGACTGTACACGGAAAAGAGATTCCAGTCAACAAGATCAACAATAAGGTGGAAAAGAATGATGCTGTCCTTAAACAACCTACAGAATACCGTCTATAACCCGGTAACGAGCTGATTTCCATACAATCTTTTTATTTAATTTATTTCTTTATTTTAAAGATGTGGGGTACAATTCAGGGTTAGGTATACAAATGTTCATTATGCAGTTACCCTATAAAATCATTTTTACCTATGGTGGACTTAAGGGCAAATCCAGCCGGGCTTGGTGGCTCAGCTTGTAATCCCGCGCTTTGGGAGGCTGAGGTGAGTGGATTGCCTGAGCCCGCGGGGTCGAGTCCCGCCTAGGCAACTTGGTGAGACTTCATCTCTACAATAAATCCAAAAATGAGCCAGGCGTGGGAGCGCGGAAGGCTGAGGCGGAAGGATCGCCGGAGCCCAGCAGGTCAAGGCTGCATTGGTCGGGAACGGCCGCTGCACTCCAGTCTGGGTGACTGAGTAAGACTCCAACTCAAAAAAAAAGAGCAAATCCAGGTGAATGGTAATTATCCATTGGGGGATGGGGTAAGAATAAAATCTAGGAAGTGTAGGTAAAGCACCTACTATGTGATGGGAACTGTGGTGGACGCTGGCTAGAAAACAGATACTACTCTTGTCCTCTAGTGGGAGAAAGGGTCACATGACAATGTGTAGTGATAAGAACAGTGGCATGAACAGAGAACCTGGGATACTGTGAAGGGAGTGTCAACTTCCCGGGGAAGAGCTCAGATAATCATAAAACGTAATTTTTTTTTTTAAGGAAAATGAATTTCTTACTCTATAATTTTTTCTTTTCTTTTCTTTTTTTTTTTTTGAGTTGGAGTCTCA